TATAATATAGACAAGCATTGAAATTAACATAACACAAATCAATTTTATTATTAAATTCACACAAATTAAAAAAAGGAATAAAATAATAATATCTCAAATAATTTCGAACGAATGTAATCAAATTATAACTTACGTCACTTTGGAAGACGTTTGATTAAATATGCAAATACCCTTAACTTACGTAGATAATTACTGTAGAGTACATTAATATCGTAAAAGTAGGTAAATGCCGTGTGATTTAATTAAAAATAAAACTGTCAAATGAAGCGTCAAAGTGCGTAGAAAGCAATTATCAAAGGTGTCATAGAAGAAATTACTATTCGAAATTCTAGATTTCATCAAACCTAATTATAAAGCGTAATGGATTAATCTGTCATTATACGTTTTTCTTTTCGAAATTAACTTTAAAACTTACATGTATACTTCCTTATAAAACTGAACACATCATCAAAATATATCGAATCAAACGAAATTTTTATTGCTGTAACGTTAATTCATAGAGATAAAGCAATTGTTACATAACCAATTCATTGATATTCTACAATGCCCATCCACTACGTCTCTACATTAGCATTAAATGTACATGAAACGAATGTAGAAAAATAACTTGTCAATTATAATATTATTACCTATGTTGATCAGTTATATTTACATGTCAACATTTTTAAGTTGAATCCTTAAAATTACTGACAGCCATGTGATAGCTGACTATGAGTTTTCAGCTCCATCACACGATGTAAATAAATCGATCGCATATGCAGTGCTGCCGAATTCAACGACAAAACACAAACAGCATATAATAATTCAAGGAAATAATCAACACAATTTTATGTACATAATATAACATATAAATATTATAATTAGGATATAATATTAACAATAACACTATTAAGCAATCTTTGGTAAATCCAGAAACCTAAGCCAATACCGTAAAATAAATAACACGAATAATCTGAAATTATAAAGTAAAGCTGAAAATTTATAATAAATCCGCTTTTTTCCGCTTTCACGTGTTGTGAATCGTTCATCTTTTATGAATTCGTTTAAAATCAAAAGCTTAACATTAATAACTCAAACTGTGTAAAACTAAGTCAGTCTGATTTATGTAAAAACAAGATTTAGTTATTCTGATTTACCGAATTCTGAACAAAACATGTTAAATACAAAATAAGTGTACTCCTAGTTATTGAATGCGAATCTTGGGTGAATCATAATTACACACGCATTATCTGGAGATGACTTGACACAGTGAGATACGAACATTTGAAAGGGATAGGATCGCACACTGGATTAATGCTGGCAACTCCTCTGTAATTGAGATTTTCCTTTCTCTTGCGGTAATATATCGTACTTGTTATTTATTCCCGTCCACGAATGAATGTATTTCCACGTAAAATATGATAAGGTGGGTATAGCCCTTTCTTTAAACCTGCAAATAAACAAAGAACCACGCACGGCAACAAATTTATATGACATCGCGTTTTCGAGCTGACCCATTCGTCGACTAACTCTAAAAACACTGAGAAGCTAATTTATTACCACTTACATTTAATTAAACATACCCATTTTAAATTACTTATTGACAAGTGTTCAACCTAGCTTTGAGTTATTGTTAAATTCATTACCTATCTACCGTCAAACACGACAAGTTCACTACTTTCGCTTACCCGTTTATCACCCGAAACATTAAACAATCAACCAGACGAAACATCTGGAGTACTAACAATTTTGACCGAATATAATATTAACGAAGTAGAAAGGTTCAACGGAATGTCATCCTTTGGGATATAACCGAAAGTTCATATTAAACAAGAAATAAATCGTCTTTAAGACTTCAACAATCATACAACCAAGATTTACGATCACAGAAAGAAAAAGGTGAATCTCCTAGGGTTTTACGGTTGGATTTCCACAATCGTCATTTCCATGTAGCACAATTTAACATTTTTTCACACAACGTAAATATTTTTAATATACAATACCTATTGTGTAAAATAAATGTGTGCGATGTTATGCATTCATTGATGATATTTTGTTCATTTCTCATAACTTTGCGTTAAACTGTGAAATTTTGAGATGAGAGCCATGAACAATGGCTAACGTAGAACAACAAACCGCAAAACCTTAGATGATCCACCTAAAACACTGATGGCTAGGACCAGTCACCAAAACGAGCGAAACCTGTGAACAGGGAAATTGAAAGTTGCTTAGTTAAATATTGAGTTTATCCCCTCCACGAACATTAAGTTAGGGTCATTAATCGTTGTATAGGTTTAGCTCATTTAGTTTCTGAACATAGTACTATAAAAGTACCTAGATAATATAACTCTGCAAGCACTATAGAGCTTCTCTTTAAAGAACTGCAAAGTGTCACTGTCTAGGTAGTCGCTGAAGAATAATACTTCATATTATTGCGCTCTTCGATATCGAAATTATTTACAATATTTATTTAATTTATTACCTTACTCCTAACATTCCCTTCTATAAACATTCAGTATAATTATGTCATCCATAACACTCGTTCCATATACAATCTTTTACCCTATGGTGTTTTAGAAAATCTATTATTACTTGCAGTCATATAAAAATAACAACAGACCGTTTATTTTCTAGCAAATATCTACAATAAAAGTTTGGATGATCACGGTACAGTGTGGGAAGCCTGCGGTCTTAACTAACCTTTAATGATAATTAGTAATAGTAATTAAATGCTAGATTGGTGTGTATTTCGGTGCGTGCAATAGCACATTCCTACTTCCAATTTATTATCCGACATGACTGTGTTTATTCATAAAAAAATTAAAGTTATTAGTCTGTTAGTGCGACAAACAATTCCATTCGTTAATTCCTTCGAAGATTAACCTTGATTCAATGAGCTGGATATTATTAACCTTCCACCAAATGTTACCATTGAGGATAAGAAGTAAGATTCTAAAATTTAATCTTTCAACCTTCAGCGAGCTTCTAACGGCTTCGTCGATTACATTAGACCGTATTCCACGTAATGTATTACTACGCATATTACGTTTTATCTAATCTAGACTAGCCGAATGTATGCGATTCTGACACAAACATCTATACACATTCAATAACACTTACATATTATATGAAGACGAATCACACAAAACAATTTGAATAATTTTACTATAACCATCCCTGTTTTCCTAACTGCTCGCGGTGGAATTTATTAATATCAATAATTCTGAGTTATCTAAGTAATCTTTATCTAATAAACATTATCATGAGTTACTTTGACATATCAAATACGCGGCTCGAAATATTTTTTTTATTATTATTATTAGACTGCTACAAATACCCTACAAAATGGGTCGAAGTGAGGTAAAAAACGCTTATGCGCAAAGGTGTTTGAAACGATCTTCAAACGTACGATCTACAAAATTAATGAGAAGAACGTGAATAAGGTAACACTTAAATATAATAGAAATAAAATGTCTAGTCTAGGTACAAATGAGAAGTTACTTAAGTTACAGACTAAGGTCACAAACCTCAACAATGATACCTTATCTAAGAGTTAGTGGTAAAGTGCCAATAAGTGAGTAAAAGACTTTACAATCGGTGAAAATTTGTGAGAATACAAATCAGGAGAAGAAATTTGTGTACTAAATTTACCCTGTACTCTAGGATTTATTAGTGAAAATACGGTTAATATTAATTATAATATGGAAGTAATCCAACACGCCTAATAAAGTCACAAAAGGCGCACCGATAAACTAAAGCGTCCTAATGGTGAAACATCATTCAGTCGTCATGTTTGTGGGCAAGCATTCGTTTTATTTTTATAATGATAATTATTATACAATTCAAGCAAAACTAATCAAGGTATCGTATATCACTCGAGTAGCTAAAATAACGTTATTTGCAATTGCAGTAGTAGTAATTGTTGTGGGCGTTTATTATTAAATTATTAAACTGTTTCCTTGAAGAGACTGCGGCAGATTTGGCACTCCGTTTAAAAATCTAATAAAACAAGTTACCGAACTATCTAAGAATATCGACCATTATAAAAATGTATTACATTACAATTGGCAGTCAATTGTGTTACACAAATATTATCTAACCAAATAATATCACCGTCGCGACGTGACTCTTATAAACTATTTGGCAATATGATAAGTGTTTTTTTATTAACTCTGATGACTAGATTTACTAAACCTAATATATATCTATAATCCCCATTAACTCTATTACAACTACTGGGAAATTATTACCATTCGTCAAATATCGATATTGTCCTTATGATTTTTACGCGAGTACGTTGTTTATCAAATACTAAATGTATAATTCAAGTTTAATATGTCACCTTTATTAAACACGTCATCTAGAATGTCCGGCTCTCATAGAGGACGTTTGCACGAAACTATTACATAATATTGATTGCTAATCGACGTTCGGTTGAATAGTACCTCTGTACAATACTTAAATATTACGAAATTGAGCTCGATTTATATGAAGTAAACCTTAAAAATTAGTGTTAACTGTATTACTTTATACTTTTGTAACATCTGAAAATTAAAATGCTATAGCAAGAAATTAATATAAAATCCTAGAGATAAACTGTACAATGTTTGTGCGCTCGTACCAAATAAATTTGGAAAAGAAATCCCATGAAAATATTATAAAAGATGCATTCGCTTAAAGTATAAACGTTCAATACAGCAATTCTAATAAATATAAAAAATAGATGCGGCGAACTCGGCTGCGATTGAAAAGGCCGTGTCTTGAATTTGCGTTCTCGTTTCACTATCGACGGACACATTATCAAGTCTGAGTTAATATTCTATTACAAAAAGACGGCTTAGGATACGCTTAAGGCGTCGCAACGTCCACAGCGCACCGGGCACTTGGCACCTCACTGAGCACTCATGTCCTCGCCTGGCAGTTCCTAGCTGAGAGCTTTACATGGATCATCCATGCCACCACATCACGATGAGCTCCCAGAACGTCTTCGGCGGCGAGTGGCCGAAGACGTAAGACGAATTTCAGAGACCCGGGTCTCCTTCGGAGCCCATTTTGAGTAACTCCAGTTTTTTCTTGGCGATTTTCGAGTAGAGAATGTCGATTGGCTTGGTGTTGTCGTAGAATGTTGGCGCTCTGAATATAATCAGAGCAGTTCCCATGACGCAAGCTATCGTGAACGCGAACAGAAAGATTCTGTCTAACACCATTGCGACGTATTTCCAATCATCTTCAACCTAAAGAAAAAAAAAATGAAGGTTAGTTTTTATTTATTAAGTTTGACAATTTTTTGTTGTTTTCATTATTATTTATAGTATTACAGAATACCAACAGTATAGAACCCTAATAAATAAATTATACTTGAAAAGTTTTCATTGACACAAGTAACACCTTAATTAATGTATACAAGAATATAATATCATAAATTATTATAATTACAAAACCCAATTTCACAATCATACTCACACTTTCAAATTTATCTTTATTCTTGACGTGCTGTGCGATGAATCTCGATCCCTCTATAGTCTTTTCCATCTCTCTCACAAATGGTTTCTCTAGAGATGAAGTGCCATCATCCAGATCCATGCGGCAGGGTGAGCTTGGGGGCGGAGAGAACAGCTCGTCGTCTCCGCCCGGGGGAGGTGGAGGGGATGGAGGCATTCCAGGAAGCTCGTACTCATCGCAGCCCCATTCTTTGAATTTTCCATCCATTTCGTCTCCACCAAAAACGTCAGTGATTACCTGAAAATGTAAAATTTGTTGATTTTTTTTAAATGATAATTACTTATTTACTTAGAAACATGGTATTGTGAGTTGGTAGAAGATTAATAAAGTGCACATGTTGCGCCACAGAAGTTTAGCATGGATAATCAAATAGAAAGTTAAATAGCATGTCAAAAAGCTAAAATATTTATAATATCATATTTTCGAATCGATACAAATAGAATTTCTTTAAATTTCTGACAAAAATGTATAAGAAAATGAACTGAGTTTATCCCGAAGCGTCAACCTAATCGAGATCGGTCAAATACAGTGATTCGTTAATTAAAAGTAATTATGTTTACGGATACCTAATTCTTGTTTATTTACTTCTGTTACCACTGACTAGGCAAAGGGTTTTAATTGTGGGGTCTCAAATTAAATGCAAATTCAAATAACAGAACTGTAAACATAATCTTAAGGCTTTAACCGATGTATCATGTAATTTCGAAGACAACAAAACGTTTAGTGAAAGACGAGATGGACGAGATTATTGAGAGAATTTAAGAAACGTAGTTCCTAATAGGTAATAGTAATAACTGCGTTCCTCAACTTTCTGTTCCTATACCTTACACTATGTATAATCATTAATTAAACTTAGAAATTCAGAAAGCCATTATCAAACTGGCTTAGAAACTTATCACGAATTGTAGGATAGTAAGCTTAGTGGTGTGTGAAATTCCGGGAGATTAAAATGTCAGTTAGCGTTTCGCGGCAGTGTATCGACGCGGCTTAAGCCGGCACACAATTAGGCCAGAGTAGCGGCTTGGGTTCGTCTGTTAGCTCGTATATCGCGATCCGTTCGCAACCACCAGGGGAACATAAATAACGGGCCGCTTGCGCTCGTTAAGCCGGTCGGCGTTGAGTAATAAAGGAAAATCGAAATGGAATGAAATTGGGCTGGAACCGATATTTTCGACGATACACACGGAACACGATGGATTTAGAATATCGCTGGAAGGAGCTCCCAGAAGAGTATCGCGGCTGAGGACAATTAAAATGGTTATTGTTGAGGGCGGCTCCGACGATTGTAATAGAGTTCTGTTTATATTGAATTCGTTCCAATGGAAAATGTTTTGAATGAAGGAAACTCGATGAGAAAATGCGCCGGTGTTGTTTATTTTTCTACTGAAAGGGATTTGTTCCAAAGAACTTCATTTGTGAAGGCTTCTATTTTACAAATTTAATTAAAAAGCTTCGAAATGCCGATAGCTCTATTTGGAGTGCTAGATAAAATGGATGTTGATTTTTTGCAGATTATGTGTGATTTGTGCATAAATTAGTTGATATTAAGTGACCTTATTGCGTTATGTTTTTATTGAAGAATCAATATTGCTTACCTCGATCGGCTTATCGTTATCATCATCATCGTCCGGTGGCTTTTCTGGCCTTTGTATGCACAATATTTTAGGTAAAAAATCTATAAAGACTTTCCGTACCCACGGAGCCATGTGATGGGTAACTGGTGATCTAAAATTTACGTTTAGCACCACTATAGTGACTACTACTGATAATGTGACTAGCATCATAGTGAATAATAAATATTTTCCCAGCAGCGGCACTGTCAAGGACGTGGGTGGAATGATTTCTGCCAAAAGCAAGAAGAACACAGTCAAAGACAGTAGAATTGAGATACACAGTGATATCTTTTCACCAGAATCTGAAGGTAAATAGAAAACTAGGACCGAAAGGAACGATATTCCAACACATGGGATTATGAGATTGACCGTATAAAAGAGGGTTTTTCTTCTAAGGGTAAGGTTGAAAATTATATCAGGGTATGGTTCTTCACAACATGAGTAGAACTTTTCATTCCGCGTGGCGGGTACACGCATGATGTCCCATTCGACTGAGATATAATACTCTGACAGGTCAATGCCCATTCCTATGTGATCCGAGTCAGGCGTTTGTTTCAGATGCCTCAAGTCCACCTGTAAAAGAAAACATAGGTCAGAAATCAGAAATCAATATATCTTTATTCAAATTGGATGTACAGTACAACTCTTTTGAATCGTCCAAAAATTTTTTTTCCCTATCACTCGTTATGGACATATTTTTTAGCTGCGGAGAAAAACGAGCGAAAAAACCTCAACAACATTAAAAGTTTAATGCAACAACATTTACAAATCATTATGTGGATACAACGTCAATACAATTATGATTCATTTAATATAGAAAACCTGTTGGAATGATTGGAACAGTTCAAACCCAAGCATTTTTGTCTGTAATATAATCAGACACTTTGTAAAAAGCTTTTTTAATAAGTGCTTTTTTTATAATATCTTTAAATTTATTTATGGCTAACTCTTGGATATTGCTTGGGACTTTATTGTATAAGCGAACACAAAGACCTTTAAATGAATTATTAATTTTGTGAAGCCTAGTAGCAGGTAAAGTTAGTTTATTTTTGTTTCTTGTATTAATTGTGTGAACATCACTGTTTTTAAAAAATAAATTAATATTTTTTCTTACAAGTAATAAATTTTCGTATATGTATTGTGATGCGACCGTCATTATTCCAAATTCCTTAAACTTATCTCTTAATGATTCTTTAACTTTAAGATTATAAATTGATCGAATAGCTCTCTTCTGCAGCACAAAAATAGTTTGAATGTCGGCGGCATTTCCCCACAATAAAATTCCGTACGACATTACACTATGAAATAACTAAAGTACACTTATCTGGCCGTATCTACATCCGTTAACTGGCGTATCTTCATTACGGCATATGCTGCAGAGCTAAGTCTATTTGACAATTTATCAATATGTGGGTCCCATTGAAGCTTAGAATCTAAAGTTACCCCTAAGAATACTGTGGTGTCTACAAGGCCCACATTCCTATCCTTTACATTCACACTGGTTTTTACCTGTTTTACATTAGGTAATACAAATTTCATACATTTCGTTTTTCCTTCATTAAGTAATAAATTGTTAACATTGAACTAGTGGACTACCTTAGAGATACAATTGTTCACGTCGTCAATAACTTTTTCCTTGCGTTTGAGTTTAAATAAAAGTGATGTATCATCCGCGAACAATACTATCTCATGGTTATCTCTTACATAGTAAGGTAAATCATTAATATAAATTAAAAATAAGAAAGGACCTAGGATTGAGCCCTGCGGAACACCAATCTTAACCGGCGAACCCGGAGACTTATTACCATTAATGTCAACCCTCTGAATCCTATCCTTCAGGTATGATGCAATAAGATCCAGATCAGTATCTCTAAATCCATAGTGGTGGAGTTTCCTGAGTAATGTTTATATGTCTTTCTTAAAAAATTACTTACGAAACTATTTGAAATTTATATTATTTTATGTAAAAACGAGGATGGAGGAGAGGGAAAGTATGCATTGCTCCTTTCTGTTATTAGCAGATAATCGGACTATTCAGCAGGTGCTTTAGAAATACGTTTTATTGCTATCACAAACGACGACCTAAGGTGAGAGAGGGTAAGAGATAAGTTGTGTGAAATCCCAAGTGAACCTTAACATGGGCGACATGAGGCGCAGTCGTAAGCCTGGTCTTATTTATGAGGAGTCTAAAGCCGCACACAGATTTATCAGTTTCGAAAGATGGCGGTATCTCTTGCGGTCCTATCATTGTAAATTTCGAAAGTTTTTCTCAGTTCACGCCTTTCGTTCCCCAGAATATAGCATTCTTCATATTATTTATTGCTGTTCTATATTGCTTCTATTTAAAAAATACACACATCAAAAGTGTCTAGGGATCAACATATATTTTTGCAATAACTTTTCTCCTGATTGATATTAATTAAAATTTTCTTTAAGGATTCATCAAATAAAGTGTTTTCGTTTGTCACAGTAACGATAAACCAAGTCACCTTTGCATTAATAAAGAAATTTGCCATTTTCCTAATAAAGGGATTTTTGACATTTGAACCACTAACACAAAAGTTCGAAAAAAAGACTGAAATAACAGTTTTCTCTAAAATTTTATTGGGTAATTTAAACAATTAATAATCCGTATTTCTACCGCGAACACTAACAACACAAGAACATCGGTTTGGCATACTCAAAATGAGTTCATCCAAATCACGCTGTGGAATGGCCGCCCATGTTCGTTGCAACAACAAAAAAAGGTCTTCTTGCGACTGGATACCCTCCATATTCGGCAGAGCTCTTCTCTGTAGCATATCCCATGCATGCTCAATCGGGTTCAAGTCTGGCGACTGAGCAGGCCAGGGCAGGACATTGATGTTAGCTGCGGCGAGAGTCTGTCTTACAACTCTTGCGGTGTGCGGTCGTGCATTATCATGCATTAACTGAAATAAGGGACCGATTTGCACTTGTAGAGGAACGATGACGTCTGATACAATCGTCTCAGCATAAATTTGAGCGTTGAGGTTGCCTCTGATCCAAATCAACTCAGTTCTTCCGCCGATCCAAATACCCGCCCATACCATGATGGTTCCACCACTATAAGGATGGACTTCCTGGCAGGATTTTAATCGCTGTTGGCGTCCAGGGGTTCTCCAGTGTCGTATACGTCTTGTATCCGGTCTCATACCAAAACGAGACTCATCAGAAAAGCACACGAAACGCCATTGTTCTTCTGCCCAATTTCTGTGTTCAAGAGCCGATTGATATCGAATCCTACGATTGTGCATTGCTATAGGTGATACCCGTAGCGGTCTTCGGGAATGAAGGTTCACTTCATGCAAGCGGTTTCTGACTGTTTGGTCGCTAATTAAGTTCCCTGAAGAGTGATGAAGCCTCACGGCTAAAATCATGGCGGTTATTGTTGGAGCTCTTCGAGTTAAGATTTGAATGTATCGGTCTTGTCTCCGTGTGGTGCAGCGATACCGTCCTCCATGGCGCTCAGCCACGGTACCAGTGCTTCGGTATCGTGTCCAAAGTCGACTGATAACACTCTGACTTGTATTCAGAGCTAAAGCCACAGTACGTTGCCGGGAACCAGCTTCTATCATTCCCACGGCTCTGAGCATTTCTTCCCTGCTTAAATGACGTCGCCGCTCCATAATAACGTTGGTTTTAATCAGTAGTAGGGAAACAGTAGCACTAATAATGTCTTCAATGCGTTGTATGTTTTTATAGGGAAAATATTGACAGCTGATTTTCATCTTTTACTCGAATTTGATTCACAGTTCCTGATTCAAATTATGAAATGCACCAAAAAGGATCCATATAAATTTATAAAATCATAAATTTATTACAAAGCCACATCTCAATCTCAAGAAATCCGCATGAAAATGCTTGATCCCTAGACACTTTTGATGTGTGTATGTTTAAAAACCGTTAAAATGACAGAGACTTTTATTGCCAAATACCGACTTTAATGCCTTATTTTTTTTATAAAAGTAGATACTTTAGCATGTCAGTCATCAAGTCAAGAAGTTTTAAGAACCTAAAGAATATTTGGAAAACATAAAGTTATTTTTACAGTATCTTAATTAACCAGTTATAAACCAACGACTGCGTATTTTCAACAATAGGTAGATTGCCCATTTTATGCGTATTTTCAACAATAGTGAATAAAATATATATAAAATAGATAATCATGACGTATCTAGAAACACTGACCGTGTATCCATCGTAGCTCCAGGATCCAAACTTCATGAAGCAAGTCTGCTCGTCGAACGGAAAGTATTCGACGTCGATCTCACAGAACGACTTGTAGATGGCCGGTGGTTTCCACACGACTTTGCCGTCGTGATGCAGGATTGCCTTAGTCATGATCGTCACCTCATAGTTGCCGTCAGCACTGTTGACAAATATTGTTATTACATTAACTGAATTTATCTTTTCTTTGATTCAGGATTATTTTTGGATACTTTAACAGACTTGGGCGATATTCAAGTCAATAGAATCTCAATACTGGCATCAAATGGCACTAGCTATGATTTAAGAAAATCATGTTAGCAAAGATTAAGCGCGTTTATCAAGAGTGATTTTTATAATTCATCATCACCGGCCTATTAATGCATCCACTGCTGGGGTACAGGCCTTCCTTATGGATGGAATAGGGAGATTGGGCCATGACCGGTCACACTAGCCCATTGCAGTTTGCAACGACTGTGGATGAAGCCGGAACCAACGGCTTAACGTTCCTTACGAAGCTGCAGCTTGAAATATAAGTTTTGGTCACCCATCCAATGACCGACCATTGCAAATGTTGCTTTACTTCCACGATCCCAGGCCAAAAGCGCCATCGAGCATTAAGATATTATAATTGTCATAGTATGAATAGCTATAGAATTATTTATGTACCTTCCAGTTGATACTAGTGTCACACATAATTTATTAATTAGTCGTTTAGAACACGATATATCAAACCGTAAATCACTCTAAAGCTGATACATACTAGGATTATTGTGATCAAATTGTAATAGAAATCCTAATACCAGGGTACAAGGGACATGATGTAGGTATAATTTTAGATTGATTGCAAATTATAATGTATTATGCATGATTTGCAATTCTTACTGAGTTTCTGTAGTAAGCTTTCATGCTCAAATTGCTCATAAAGAAACTTGGTACGAACAACAAAGAAGGGAATCCAAAGGTTGTTAACTACTTTTATTGCGGCATCTTGTAGCCCTATTTTTTTGTTCAACTGAAAAATAAACATGTTAGAAAAATAGACTGCATGACTTTTGCACATAATGATGTTCATTGGTCATGCAGTTGGAAAAGGACAAAGGCCTCCGTTCTACATCTCAGTGTCCCGCTTTACGCTGACCTGTATAGTAGGGATACCATAGATTAAGGAATTTTGAATTTATAATCAGCCACGTGGCGGCCTTCCAATAAGGTTTCGTTCAATTTGAATTGATAAGCAGTCGATACTTTTTTTATAACAATGTAAAAAGTTCTAAAGATTCTATACTATTTCCTAGTAATCACATCTGAATATCATGAAAATCTCCTAGTAAATTGTAAGAAATAATTATTTTACTGTGAATTTGTGAATTTTCCGACATTTTAATAGTTTTTCTGCTATTCGTAGCGGAGACAAATTAAATAAACAAATCTCACTATAATCGATCGAGCCGTTTTTGTATTATAAGTGTTCTCACCATTATTACATATATATATATATATATATATATCGTTTTACCTATTTTTATCAAATTGTTGTCTTCTTCGTCAATCTTATACGTAACCGACCCTGCAGCTCCAGCTAGCGGCTAATCAAACTAATGTAAATTAAACTCAAACTTAATTTAACTAAACGTTTAAACGTTACATAAACTTCATTAAGCTTAATTTGACGTTATTCAATTTGACATGATGTGGCTTAACTTATTTTGTGTTCAGTTGGTATAGGCCAGCTTGGCGCAATAAATTCTACCTCTTTCGTCGACAATGCGATACACGTTTGTATTTTAGACGCACATATACGACAAGATCAAGTATCGTACATAGTAAATCGTAAATAATAAATAAGCAACACTAAATTCAGTAATATCGCTTCTAAAAATGATCTTCATTTAACTTAATTTAACATTAATTAATTTAACTTATTTATTTTATATCAATATATAGAGGGCTAATTAGAGTAACCTTTTGTATTTACCCTAATAATCCGGGTTTTCATGTGAGATGATAATTTAATTGGAAAATAGATTACTCAGCGCAGACTGTAGAAACAAAATGCAACAACGTACTTTGAACTGTAAATTACCATTTTTTTGCTGTAGGAAGCAACAAAATTTCAGTGTTAAGGATTATTCCAGTTTGTGCAATGAGGTAAAGGATCGCAATGGTTTAAGCCTCCGCGATTCATCTGGCTGACCGTCCTTCTATTTGCCAGAGGCTGCTGTTTGGCTCATGTGTACCTACCGTTATAGCTAGATAGTTCATATTTTCATAGAACGTGTATTTGTTTTTAATATGTGTGACCAATTTATATTGATTTGTACTATGCTCTGCTGAACTGATGATAGAAACGAAACAGCTACCCAAAAAGCAGCTTTTGGTCGATTTTCTAAACCGTCTACGAAAGCAGAATTTTTATTTAATTTTTCCTAACTGATTATGAAATAAGAATATTTTTTTTTCACACACTTGCTCAAAACATGCATTTACGGAGGTTGTATACATTTTTTGAAAGTTCAAAATTACGAGCCTTCCTACGAAGCGTGCGGTAAACATTTTACCCAACGCTCCAAGCTTAATCTTTACACGTTTTTTTATTTATTTCGGTCCAAATCTCACTAATCTGGTGTGAGTGGTAAGTGGCGCTGTGGGTGAGAGAAGAGGAGTATCTACATCAGAAATTTGTGGCGTGACAGTAAGGATTCATGGGTAAAAAAGGATTGAAGGGTGAAAGGGAATTGGAGGGCGTAAAGGGGATTTGAGGCTGAAAAGGGGTTTGAGAGTGAAAAGGGCGATTGGTGGGTGATAATTAGTGGGGATAACACTAATTATCACCCACTGTAGGACATTCGTGCGGATTGGTATTTACCAATTCGTAACATTACATTCGTCTACTCGTATGTTATAACCAACTTACCGCACACGTATCATAAATAACTAATCCACTTTCATTGAAAGGGCAACACGTATTGGACGTTTTGTTTGTTGTTTTTTTGTTATAATCTGAGAGGAGTGAATTGACCAAATAGAATATAGCAGGGTCAAGTGTGGGACACTGTAACAAGGGGCAGAGTGTAACATTAGTAATATCGCTGTATAATACCCCGCTATTTGACGTCTGATGACAGCTGCTTAAGATGACATATGAAATTAATAAAACACATCAGTACAGACAATAGATAATTAAGAAATGAGGATAGATAATCCTTGTGTTACAATGTGTCCCACTTGACCAATTAATATTGAATCACAGCACAGCAAAGTTTGGTGTTAAATAGTGACTCTAAACGCGTCCTTCATAGAAGAAATGTATTGGAGATTTCTGATCGATCTTAACATTCGCTGTATTTGAAATTTGTTCTTCTTAGTTCGAAGCGGCAGGTATTTTCGATAGGCTATGAACATCACAGTCAATATTCGTAGTTATACGTACAAAATTACTGCCAGGATGCGAGTCATTAACCTCCACACGCAAAGCCTAAACACACCATTTAATCTTCGCCGAACATGCACTTACAAAATAACGACCCACTCACGGCTTATTTGCAAAAACATCGTCAAAACGGCTGAGTTGCGACTAAAGCCTTTGTCGCGACCAACTTAATCAGTTCACGAATTGTCGCATAAAATAGGTCACCGCCACCTTCCATTTGGCTAACGTGGCAACATTAAAAATAAACTTAGCGTTGAATTCCCGAGGCTTTTAAGTCACAGGTGCATTAAGAGGTATCTGTTCTTCAAAGATATAACTGTCACTGGAGGGATAAAACATTTTTAGCGTTATGTTTTAAGTAGCTTTACAATTTTGCTTTGTAATCACGAAAATTACTTGCTTTAATAGAAATATCTGTCAGTTCTCCCTGCTTCTCAGTCTAACTTGCTGATAACCTCAGGACATCTTTAATAAAAATATAAACGACAGTTTCATAAATATAAGTTTAAGCAGATCATTATTAAAAGCGAGATTAATGGATTTAGTGTTGCTTATTTTTAGTTTTGGGATAGTTACTAAGATCCTTGATATTTTCATATTTGTGCATCTAAAACACAGACAAAAGAGGCATTTGTTGCACCAGGCCAGCTTGCACGAACTATGGTATAGCTGTTTAAGATTTATCAAGAATTGAGAGGTGAGAACTTGAATTAAATATTTCAGTTTCATGTCAAAAAATATTATTAACTCTCTTACAAAGGACTAAATGCATTTTTAGAATTAATTATTAGGTGTGTGTGTATGTGTGAGAGAGAGAGAACCATTTTATTGACCATTAAATAAGCAATGCTGGCAGGACCTCTAAGGTCATATTTTGTAACTGTAGAACACTTCTTATTTTATTTTTTATTATTTTTCGTACATTTGCTTCAAAATATCTTCGACACATGCGATAAATATAAGGTTACCATAAATTAATCATTATATCTTAATTTGAATTTTGAAACTGCTGGTAAAAAAAAACTGCGACAGAAAGGAGATTGCTCAGCTTCCTTCAGATGTTTGGCCTAAAGACCAATAATCATTAAAAATTGTTTCCTAGATTCGAAATTATATATAAATTACTGTAGAAACGAATATTATTGACGGACACCCCTGAGAACTTCTATAAACCTTATACACTGAATGATTTTGAGTTTATGTTTGCAAATAGGTACATTGGTATTAAAATAATAAAAATAAATAAGTTATATAGTAAACTAGGGAAATCAAGCCAAGTACCGAAAATACGTATTAGATTCAGGTATACAGAGCACGCTCTTTAATCTATTATAATCAACCTAGATAAGATAATTGCCTGTTTATAAAGTTAATGCACGAGAGTAACTTTTAAAATCAGGTATCATCTATGCATTTCCGGTTATAATAAGCTACTCTATGACAGAAACTGTGTGATGATTGTGAATGAGCCACAGATTAGAGAGAATTTTTAAACTCTCGTTAATTTAGTTAGCTAAGCTTCATAATTTTGGTAATGTTTATATTATAACCATATTTTAGATTTTAAGTGTATCATATACCTTATAATGTGTTATGGAGGTGTTTGGCGAAAAATGTATGGCAATAGACTTTATGATGTCGCCTACCATCTATAATAATTATCTTAGCACATTTGCATGTAGTGAAAATGATAATATAGTTGTGGATATTAATACCACAGTGTAATACAA